TTGCAGTCATGAAGTTTGATAACTGCAGTAGCGGTGTGCTCAAAAATACGAGCTAACAAACAAATTTGACAACAGCAACGGTAGCACATTGATATGCCGAACAGAATCATGAGAGGCTACGTAACAGGTGCAAATTTTCTAGCACTCTCAGCGTCTAATAGTGCTTTGTTCTTAAAGGGGAATTATAATCCTTACGCGGAGATGAGTTACTAACCATATCAGATTAAATTCATTGGGTTTCTTTATACAAGAGTATCAAAAATTCGATAAGCACACTAAAGCGTCGATCTAATAAACCACCATTTATGTAAAGAACTGGGTATAAGACTTCGTACTTGACGACTGTCGAGTATTGTGAAAATCCATTCGTTATTCTCCGATGAAATTTTTTTTAATACTTTTTATTGTTTGGTTGTTTAATTGATTATAACAAAGCACATAAAGACTGCCTGCGTTAGGTAAGGGATAAGTGGAGGACTTTTTAAAGGAAACTGTTTGGTATACATGTTACACATGCGGAAAATGCCCAGGTAACCACATCGACCACCAGTCGAATTATCAGAGTTCAGCAGTTTTATCCTTTTGGGAACTGATGACCCTCGAATCCCTTTCAAGACGTCTTTGTTCGGATTGAGGAATCAATCTTATTTGAAGCATTTCTTGTGAGAAATTTATCACCAGTGAAAAATCAAATAAGATCTAATACGAAACGAATTTTAAGTTATAAAAATTCTAAATCCTTGATCTGTAATTAGTTAAACTAGTTCTAGAATTCTTCGCGAGCTGTCAACAAAAATATAGTTCACTTGGTCTATAACTGTTGTACTCTTTAAATGATTAATATACATTATAGGAATATGATAATGTAAAATAAATTAAGGCTTACATTTTTTTAGACTTTATTTTCAGTACTGGACGTATTGTACTGCACCACGGAAAATGTAGCTTAAACGTTTAAAAAAATTATGGTAAAAGAGCCCTTCAAATACCAGAACGCAGTTTTTGGATGCAATTACTCAGCTAAGTCTGATTTTTAGATATACCTACGGCAACATCATCAGATTTAACTTGAAAACAACATTGCTAATTTTTATGCCAAATTTTCTTTTTGAAGCTGATAATTTTAGTCCAGAAGGGAAATTTTTTAGCTTTGTTTCTATTTAAGATAAATACAGGGAGTCTGCTACCACAGATTAGAAGATAAATGGTGCTGACTGGGAGGCAAGCTAATTTTAGCGGTGGGTTATTCCTGCGTAATTCATTCATCACAGATGAGCAAAAAAAGTTGTTTCCAAACATTGGCATCATTTTCCTTAACACAAATATTCATATAATTCCGCCGGAGCTTCAATCAATTCAAATCTGGCGCCAAGGTCAATATAGGAACAAAAAGACAATCTAGATGGAGAAAATTAAATAGGCTAACAAAGCACGTAATAAACATATCACATTGGTACTCGGTTCATATTTTACACATATTTTTAAATAAGTTTAAGGATATCTGTTCAGCAAAAATCTGCATAGATATAAACGGTTGTAACCAATTTAGTATTACCTTTTGATTTAAAAATTTTACTGTGACAAATCAGATATTCCATTCAGATACAATCTGAGATCTTACGGGATGGTAATAAGCAATGAAATATTTTCATTTTTAATTCGTTATCTATTCATTTAGCTTTCTAAATATCTTTAAAAATAATCATAATAGTAATATGACCAAATTAATTAAATGTAGCTGTCCATCACCTAAGCTTGTTATGGAAGGTTCATCTTAAATCCTCATCCTGAATGTGCTATAAGTAGTGGCTGATATAACAACTGAGCTGAACAGTCATTTTGCGAATATTGATTTTCAAAAACTACATAAAGCATTTGGGTTTAAAAGCTCTAGGACAGATATATTGGATAGCCTTTGAGCCTTAAGTTTAACGTTTAGAATGGAAATCCAAATCTTTGTGCTTGAAAATACTCGTATTCCTGTGAATAATCTTTTAACATCCTGCAAAAGACTACATGCAACTGAAAATAAGGTGAGAATGTGTTTGAAACACATAACACTCTTCGAATGATTGTTAGGTTGATTCATATAAGTTATAAATATAAAATATTCATGGGAAAAAATTGGAATTTTTTTGTTAACAACAGGGTTATTGTAAATAACGTAAGAGAGTTATTTTGAACTAGTCCTTGAGCGAAGAGCAAGAGCATGATTGAATCTAGTGTAAAAAAGGAAAAAAGCATAAAAAAATTAACTTTTCCTTTTTTGTTTTTATGAATACCTTTATTTTTGATACATGACCAGTTTAATGAAAGAGTCTACAATAATGCCTAACCTTTAATGCTTAAATGAGCCGAGCATTCTTAGCAAATACAACACACACACACACACACACACACACACACACACAACAAAAAAAAAAAAAAAAAAAAAAGAAAGAAAAAGAAAAAATCAACACATTTTTATATCTTTACACTTTTTTCACATTACTGACAGCAGAGTTTAATGTTTTAAAACTGGAAGTGTTGAAGATCCGTAGAAGTACGTCATGAACGATGAACATAAATAAGTGAATAGACGAATAATAAACAAAGAGTAATTAAAATTAAATATAAAAATATAAACAAACTGAGTTAAATTAGTGGTAAATAGAAAAATAATAAATTACATTTATCGTAAAAATAAATCAGAAATAAAAAAGCGCCCACCAGCACCCGAGCGGTAAAGTCGCTGAACACTGGTAGTTCGGTCCGAGGTACGAATTCCGCGAACTGGCTGGCTGCATGCGCGTTTTCGTGGTTTTCCCCATGTGTAACGTGTATACGAGCCAGTTTCCCTTAGAAAGTCCTCCACGAAGGCATCCCTCCCCTTAGGCAGATATTCCTAGTGTGCTTTGCCATAATTAAATAATAAATAAACCGAAAGAAAAAAAGCAACTAAATAAATGATAACATGGCCTGACATCTAGGATAAAAGCAACGGACAGCCCATTATCGTAGCTGAAACATTCTGCTTCAGCTCAATAATTCTTTTTCATTCAATTAGGTAAATTCATTATATTCGGTTATTAGAGTTTCTGACGCATCTGTAACGTTTTTGTGGATTCGCAATGGACAAATTTCAAATTAGAATTTCATAATTAGTCTTGTAAAACACACTTTTCATTGCAGAAATCTAAGAGCCGAGTTTTTACATATTCTAAAACAGTAGTAATATATTACAAGAGTATTCAAGCTATGCGAAAAACGAAATTGTGTATTCCTCTTAATCTTCCCCCCCCCCACACCAACCAAAAAAAAAAAAAATTGAAGTACAATGCAATGATCTCACCATCCCCTGACCGATGTTGACTGCAAAGAAAATATCATTGAAATGTTCTAGCCTCGAGTTTGAAATTTGCGTTTACCATTTATTTCAGTTTATGAATAAACTTCTTCAATCTGATCAAGCTTATTTTTTCTTTCCATTTAAAATTCTGGTTATATTTATTTCTTGTAGTATTGGTTAGCTGGAAAAAAATTATCATTTACTTTTGTTATTCAGTTAATTGTTATTATGGCCGAACCTCTAAAAGACACTGTGTTCAAGTTGCAGTGGGATACATAGCAGCTATTGTATACAGCTGTAGTTTTTGTATACAGCTTCCGTATTAATTAATTCCGCTTTAGATGAAATGAAAGAAATTTGCGATTTTTTTTAAATTTTTATTTTCCCAAATTTAGATTTACACCCTTCTTCAAATTGGATACTTAAATGTAGGAAAGAACTAAAGACTGTAATTCCTGATTAATCGGATTTTGGCCTGTACAAAAAAGTTAATTTCGTTTGTTGTGGATTAGCCGAATAATTGCTATCATAAACCATCAGTTTAAAACCAAACTGTCTACGGTAAACATAAAAAGGAAAATAAAATGTCTCGCGATAACAGCACAGCAGCCATAGTACATGATGTCAGCCTGATGACTTCTGCCCAAAATAAAAAAAGTTCTGAACTCAATTGTATGTACACGTTCTCTTGTAAATATTGCTCTTTAACCCCACTTATAAATTAATTTCTTTATTTCTAATTATATTTATTCTTCTGTTATTTGCAGTGTTTTTTTTTTTTTTTTAATTTAAATATTGATTTAATGTACGTAACCAAATGAAATAATTCTTCAGATTAAACTGCTTGAAATTACATGTAAAGTGTTAATAATATTTTTCTGTTAATTATAACACGTGTTCTCTTTCCTGAATTTTTTTAACTACTCTTGGATTATCAGTGGCTCCTATAGTGGCGAAGTAATTAAGACCTCTAAATGCTGGGAGTCGATACGGGTCCGATTCTAAGCGAATAGGTTGGCTGCATGGTTGCTTTTCGCTGTTTTCCCCATGTGTAACGCGAACAGAAGCTAGTTTCCCTTATAAAATCGGCCCAACAGCGGCCGAGCGGTAAGGTCGCTGAACACTGGTAGTTCGGTCTGAGGCTCGAATCCCGCGAACGGGCTGGCTGCATGGGCATTTTGGTGGTTTTCCCCATGTGTAACGTGTATACGAGCCACCTTCCCTTAGAAAGTCCTCCACGAAGGCATCCCTCCCCTTAGGCAGATAGCACTAGTGTGCTTTGCCGTAATTAAATAAACCAAACCAAAAACCCTTGTAAAATCCTCCATGGAGACATCTCCTAAGCAGAAAGCACTTACTGATTATATATTATTCCCTGAATGGTATTTTAGCTTTTACAGAAATTCATTCAAATGCCAAACCAATTTTATACCAAACAAAAGAAGTATATTTATTGTACATATAACAACGGAAAAAATTTTAAAAGAAAAAGCTAGTGAAGTTAATAAAAAAAATTAATTTAAAAAGAAAAGTACTAGAGTTAAAATAATATTTCATTTGTCCTCTCTTTGAGTGTGTTTAATGATATTCCTAACAGATGGCAGCACATATACATTAAAGTTTAATCTTTTCCAACGACAAATTGGCCTTTGGCGCTGTCATTATCATGCTAATCATTTTCGCAACGGCGCAAGAGTGATGAATGAAGATTATGCGTAATTCTGGCGAACAGAGAAAGCTTAAGTAACTGCTTGTTTTGCGGATTTTATTTTAGCGCTAATAGTCTATTACATTAAATAAAGTAAATTCTGACGTGTTATTTAAAACTGTACCTAACTTTTAATACCTACATGCTTGACATTGATTAGGAAAGTGTGTATAGTTAGTGTTTGACATGCATTTAAAAGTAAAGACGAATGTGTCAAAAGAAGAAGTACGCTTCTGGCAGGGATGTAATTTCTCAGACAAGTTTGGCGAGTGTGACTGCGTTTGTTTTATGATATACAACGTTTGCGGGAGGGGGAATTTAGTATTCCAAATCCCTATAGCTACTACGCCTTTGATCCTTATCATTAGCGGCGCAGTCAGACAGACTTGAGGCGATAAATTCCGCCATTTCAACGTAAGATTTTTTTTTTTTTTTCCAGTTTCCGTTCAAGGCCTGCTGAAGCGCCGCGTTCCTATATTCTGTATTGCATATAGATGATGAAGCGTATCCCTACATAATACTGAATTGTATCCGAAGTCAGATTAACGACATAAAAAGCTTAATAAATATTCTTGGAATGAACCATATTTTCTAGTTTTCAGTTAATTTCTAATGAAATTAATCTAGGATATGAAATTATTCTCAAATCTGAAAGTATGATCAACCTGCGTTTTGAAAATTAAGACAAAACTATGTTTTTATCAGCAAATTTCCAGCAAAAACTATCGCTGTGCCAGATGTAATATTAAAATTAGGTTTAATTTGGTTTATTTTGATTATGGCAGAGGACACGAGGGCTAGCTACCTAGGGAAAGGATGCTCTCATGGAGGATTTTCTATGGAAAACTGTCTTTCGTATGAAAATTGAGCATTCTAAATAAGAAGACAATAAAGTTCAGTTTAAAATTACAGAAATAGTGTACGTATGCATTTATACGCCCCCTTTCAAAGGCCAGTTATCGAACACTTTTAACATAAATACGACCAGTTTCATTCAACATAACTGCCACAAATCTTATTTCTTACTAAGAGGATTTTATAGTTTGCAACTCTCGCCAACAAACTAATTCCGTCAAATATAAACTCGAAAATCAGCCCGGTTAGAGTCCTACCGTATTCTTCTAGTTTGAGGCTAGATGATTTCTGATCTACCTGAAAAACTAAGTTTCTACTATTTAAAAAAATGCGAGGACTGCGGCCTTCAGAGTAGTCTAGAAATTCCAGGTTAACTGACCCAGTCCAAGTGGATTCATCCAAAAATAGACACATCTGATATTTATACATCAATACTGGCGATGATCGTACTGGAAAGTACTGAGTAATTATGTTTTCGAAGGTGGATTTGAATTATATTTGTGGTATTAAAATATTTTCAGATCGCCCCACATTTTAGACATCCTCTCTACAGCTGGGAAAATTTTCAAAAGTAATTACATAGCACTTTTAATTTGGTCGTATGTTTGATATGGAACGTAAATGGCAAAAGAGCTCTTTGTTAGTTTATTCATATAAAAACCTGCATCAAATACGTTATTACTAATGAATCATCTTCAGACTTCTTCTGCCACAAAACAAGATATTATACCAGGACAAAAAATATGAAAGTCTATATTAATCTATTTTATCTCTTATAACTGGAAAATATTACTATAGTAGTTTGTAGTTGTTATAAATGAAACATAGAAGTGAGGGAAAAAAAAGTTTGTATTTTACTCATTTCTACTGGTTAAACAAAATGCTCAATTCTTTAATAAGAAATACACTGAACCTATAGAAGACAGCGATCCATAATATAGAATAGCTAGTAGTAAATGTACATTTTAACTATGAAGAGAATAGAATTTATACTTTCCTTTATTTTCAGCTAAAGCAGAAGTGAAAGCCATTATGTGATGCAATCAGTTGCAAAAAATATTTATTATAACTCATATTTCTAACGCTTTTTTTCTCCTTTCTTCTACGTGTTCGTATTTCGAGATTAGATTCCTTTTTTAAGAAATGCTTCTGGTCGAGAATCTATTTTGCATTTATTGTCATTCGGTCATGTTGCGAATATGTTTCTTGCTTCGATAGAAGATGTAAAAGAAATTTGATTTCTCTCATATTTGCTTTCTTACAAGGAAAGCTACTTCATTTCTCGCCGCGAAACTTTCAGGATTTTCAAACATGTGAACAGCGCAGGTACACAGTATGGCGTTTCGCAATCTCCCGCAACCTCCAGGTTTGGTTGACTTAACTATCGCAGAGCACGCAATGACTATCTGCCTAAGGGACGTCTGAAAGATGTTCTTTATGAAGAACTTTCTAAGGGGAACTAGCTCGTATACACATTACACATGGGGAAATCATGAAAACGCCCAAGCAGCCAGCCCTTTCGTCTGGAATCGAATAAGGGTTGGAACTACCAGTGTTCAGTGACTTCACCGCTCGGCCACTAGTGGGCCTTCTCACAACTCCAGAACAGGGTCTTCTTACAACTCCAGAACAGAGCCTTTAAGGTGGCGACATGCGTAAAATATTTGCAGCTACAGGCTAGCAAACATTTTATCGACACTATCTATGAGTTGCAAGGCTGTTGTGTGCTAAGGTGCATTCCTGGAAAGTGGCATCAGTGTCGTACGCCGATAATTTACCATGGTACAGACCATCGGTATCAGTCGTAAACGTGCGCTCCTTGCCACGAGGAATTTCGTGTGCTTGGGCTGACTATAGGTCAGACAAGTGAGCATTAGCAACAACAACAACGAACGTACTGCGTATATATCCCTGATGCGGTAACTGAAGACAGACATGGAATTGAACCATGTTTGATTTCTGTCCGTATGTCTGCAGAAGGGTTGGTGTCGCGTGATAAAACAGGAGCAATCAGACGGTGTCAACAAAAATAATGGCGGCGAAAGAGTAGGGATGGGCTTCAAGGAAAGAATGTTTTGCTTAAAATTACTTGTTTTGTATTATTTCAATAATATAAACAGTATAGCTAAAAATCTGCGAGTTGAAAAAGACAGCAATCGATTGAATTTAGTAAATAAGACAGATAACTGCATCTACAGTGCTAGTTTGTATAGAGCAGTCATCAGTGCTAAGAAACTCGGGTACAAAAAGTATAATTGAAATCGATGAATTAGCAAAATTTTCCTTGATAATTATTTCTCAGTCCTAGTTCTGTATACACAATTACTTTTAAAGAAAATGAACTTTTGTTTATCTCGAACTGCTATAGCAAATGGGATACGGCATTAGAAGATTAGAAGATTTTTTTTTAACAGGTGAAAAGTTAATAACGTGCTTTATAAATAAATTTGAGAGTCTTTTAAATACTTTGTGTTATTAAAATGTATGTTAAATTGGTGTTTTTCTATTCATAAATATATTTTTAAATTTATATAGATTTGTAAGCAGATCTTTCATTTTGATTAGTTTTTTTCAGTATAATTTCTATCAAAACACCGCTTTAAAACTCTTCTTTTGAAGGAAATGCTCTAGCAGCTCGAAAACAAACCGTAATGAATTTTTTACGTGATAATACATTTGAACTGAACCAAAAACTTTAGTTTAAAAACTCATTTACTTAGTCGTCTGTGTAAGCCAAATCTGAATAATTCTTCTCTATGTGATGTTAACGTGGAGGTAAAGATAAATAGCAGTAGCAGAGTTTTGGGGTAATAAGTTCGAATTCCGATCTCTTTTTTCATCCTTTCTGCATCTTTCTCAGCTCTGGGTTCCCGGTTGAGGAATATTTGCGTTTAATAATTTATTTACATTTTTATATGTATTAAATCGATTTATTTATTTTTATTTTTCCGTGGGAATTTGTTTTGAGAGTTATAACAAAACATGAATTTAAAGCATGTTATCTGTAAATATATATATATATATATGTGTGTGTTTTCGTTTTACTTTTATGTGAATGTGCATATATGCGCAATGATTTTGGATGTTTTATTTATGTTCTAGAGAAGATATTTTTAAATCACTGCGAAAACAGAAAATTTATTATGTGCAGATAGATGTTCCTAACCAAAATAAATAAATAAAAAATGAAAAATAAAATAAAAACAATCTGAAAGCTTTCAGATTTTATATTACGACCAAAGGGGACTTTTTTTTAACGTTTTGTGTGTTACCTTTATTTATTAAATACCATGTTCTTCGCATCTAAACCATAAAATTCAGTTCAATAGCAATATCACAAAATAATTTCGACGACCTATTTAAGGATGTTCAACATCTGAGGTGGTCCAATGAAAGCCGTGCTTTCTATCGTGACATTAATCTCGGCCGCAAAGATTTTAAACCTAGTACCACTGCCTGTAGAGACAAAAACAACATCATCCTAAATGATAGAAAAGAGGTACTTCACAGGTAGAATGAGCATGTTCTTCGCATCTAAACCATAAAATTCAGTTCAATAGCAATATCACAAAATAATTTAAAAATGAGCATATCCTTCAAAATTTCTCGCGCGCTGGAGATAAAAAAGTTTTTCTTTCCCGTACAGTGTTGCCATTGCTCGCTTTTAAATTGTTAATCAAAAATTCGTTAAAGGTTTACAAAATATGAAATAGATAATAAAACAAATTCCGAATTATGGCTTCCAGATGTTCCTATTCGGTGGAAGATTACGTTTTTCAAAATTTGATGGTTCTAGGTGCCGTTGTTTTATCCCAGTGCGAGAAACATACATACATTTATGCAGATTCTTCATTATTTAATTTTTTACGTGTAACACAGGGCGATAATATTTGGTGGCAACAATTTGAAAAATGAACCGATATTTATAGTGAACCAACGCAAAATGTCAAAATGAAATTAATAGCCCTTCTGGGCTAACGCTCTTTAGGCTAAAAAAAAGAAGAGAAAGAGAAAGAGGGAAAGAACGCTTAACTTTAACATTTTTTATAAAAATGTTATAAAGTTATGAATTTAAATATTTAAATTTATAAATTAAAAATAATATTTGATGTGTTATGCTCAAAATAAGCACAAACGAGAACATTTTGACACATAAACATGACTTCTAATAAATTACCCA